GGGAGAAGAGCTTATGTTTTCTTTAATTGTTAATCATTGTGTGTGTGTGTGGGGGGCAGCTGTTAAAACAAAGATGTAACGTGATTACATTTTGTCGTGAGTAGTTTTATTGGGTGTAAGGGTGTAGGCTGTTTGCTCTAAGGTATTTGAAGCCTTGTAAATAAAACCTTTCTCCATGTGAAAGGTTAGTCACAGGGACACAGAAATTTGAGAAAAAAGTGCTTTATCTTATCCTTGGGGAAAAAAAGTCAAACAGTAATGTTACAACTTAAAAAGTAAGAAGCAACATGAGATAAAATGACATCAATGCTCAAACCAATCCAAGCAACCAAAACTGATCAGATGAGAAGGAAAGGGGATCTTAAATTTAGACACAAGGGGAACAAAACGAATCAACTAATATTAGAGAAGCAAAATCAAGCTTTAATTTAATTGTTACTCTAACCTAACAGTAATTAAAAGAACAACTAAATACCTTACTGAGGAGACACAGAAAATAAATGCATTTAACATAAATGACTCCAGCTATATTCCTATGATCTTGGAATACGTGGTATCTCCCAATCAGCACTTTCTGTATTAAATAGTGATGCATTCAAAGACACCTTTGACAACCAAATTTCCCAGAGGAACCCACCCGAGGGATTAATAAAGTTTTATCTCTTATCTTACCTCTTTTGCTCGTTATATGCTGGCAGACCATATCATTGCTTGGAGAACCCAGCACTGCAAAACCAGAGAAAGAAATTAATAGAAATTAAAGTAAATCCAACAAAGTTAACATACACTCTCAGTGAACTTTATTAGGTATATTTGCTAGTACTGGTTTGGAGCTCATTTTGCCCTCAGAACTGCATTAATTGCTCACAACATCGATTCAACAAAGTGCTGGATAATGGTCTTGTGAGGGTTTGGTCCATATTGACAGGATAGCATCACTTAGTTTAGGGTGTAGTTCAAATCCCTTTCCACCACACCCTAAAGGTGTTCTTGTGGATTGACATCTGTTGACTGTGAAGGCCATTTGAATATAGTGAATTCACCGTCATGTTCAAGAATCCAGTTTGAAATGATTTTACCTGATGCATTACCCTGCTGGAAGACGTCACCATAAGAGCACTCAGACCAGCCCGTATTGGACCAATAATCATACCACATTCAAAGTCACTTAAATCACCGTTCTGGCCTATTCTGATGCTCAGTTTGCACTTCCGCGGGTTATCTTGACCACGCCCACATGCTTAAATACTGATTTTTATAGTTGCATGGCTGCAAGTGTAGCAGTCACACCCT